TGATTTGAAAAATAGTTTTTGTTGATCTTTTTGAGAGTTTCATATATATTATAGTATTATTTTTAGGATAAATGTCTTGTAGGTTATGGACATTCATTACACAAAGAATATGTTTCGTTAAAGCTATATTAGGAAAATTCTTGTGGGAAAAATCCTAATAAAGAAAAAAAAAAATACATTTATTGTTTTGAGTACATTACAAAAGTTATTTAATTAAAAACCTTGCTAGTAGTACTCAATGAGACAAAAGTTTAGTCAAGGGAAAATAAATACAATGCGTATTTACTTTCCCTCAAGATAATATCACTTGAATTATATGCTTTATGAATATTAAATCTTTAAAGAATAACATTAATATACATGCCAGATGAATTGACTATAATTATATTTCAAATTTTATGCATCGTCAAGATAACATGATATGGACTCGTTATTTCATCTACCACGATCTTTGCGAAATTCACTATATTGAGAGTCATGCATTATATACGGCTTCATTTTTTGTCATTTCCTTTTCGTTTGAGTATACACCTTTAGATTTTCGGACTGCATGTCTAGAAATTTTAAGTTTCTCTAATAAATTTAGCCCTTGTTTATTTCTCATTTTTCATCCATAAAAGTGAAAAATATGACCGTTATTCATTATATCAAACCATCAATTTTGAATTTCTATATCTTGTGTGGGGCACAATAACGACTATATTTTTCATTCTCGTTCTACAATAATGAGAATCAAACGGGCCCTTAATTTAGGATTTGAGTCCATTTTATTTGGTTAATTATTACTTCGATAGATATATTTCGACGCATTTATTTCAATACCTCGTTATATGATGCAGTACAACATGTGTAAAAGTGTTATCGACAAATTTTTTTTTATTATATTATTTTCTATAATCACATAACTTATTGAGATATCTCAATTTTAAACATTTCCAAGCACTTGAACTTATTTTAGTGTTTTACATTTTGTTATGTGTATATACTTTTGAAGTCTGTAAATTTGTGGTTCTTCAACAATAACAGTATAATATTTTTCAAGAATATTAATAAATATAGAATTGTGCTCCTTTCAAATCAATATTTTTTTAGAATATTGATTTATATAAATTAATTCAAATGATTCAGCAATATTCTCCTGGAATATATAAATATTATAATTGTGTTTCGTTCCATAGCAACAATTAATTATTCTTCTAGTATAATAGTATGCTTTTTTTTTTATAGCAATATGTCAATATTTTTCTGAAATATTGAAATTGTAATGTCATGCTCTTCTAAAACATGTAATATTCTTCGAGAACAATATGTCAATATTCTTCTGAAATATGGAAATAGTATTATTAAGCTATTCAAGAGCAATAACATGTTATTATTTAAATAATAAATTGTATAAAAATTTACATTTTAAGAGTAAAAATATAATTTATATTAGATCATATTTAATTATTCTCTTCGTGAGCAAGTAAAATCTAACTAAAATATGTGCTACTTCAGGAGAACCAATACTTTGTAATGGCAGATATAATAATACTAAATTCATAAATTATACTTTGTATTAAAAAGAATAAGAACGTGATAATTAATCAAATGATAAACAAGAAGCAAAAAAAAAAGAAAGACATATTACGATTAGCGCTTCTTCAAAATCTATATAATATTCTTCATAAATATTAATGAAAGTGTAAATTGTGTTTCTCCAAAAATGTACGATTAGAAACAAAATCTGTTCAAGAATATGATATGAAAAATATTATATCTTTTCAAGAGTAATAATATAATATTATTTTAAATATTGAATGTGTGAAATTGTGATTCTTCAAAAGCAACAAAATAATACAAATATCATATTCATTTTCAAGCAATGCTATAATAATATTCTTATGCAATATTGATTTAGACTGTTTCTTCTTCAAGAATAATAATACAAAATTACATTCATGTAAGTATTTATCTATCACAAATTGGTATAGTCGAATCGATATAAACAGATCGAATAATTATATCACTTTGTTATGCAGTTGAAGTGCTTGTTTGGCCCTCATCATTTCAGATTATAATAAAAGAAATAGTATTTTTTTGGAGAACTTGTGGTTAAAGTAGAAGGAAAAGATTTTGGGTATATGCATAATATTATTTTATTAAAAAATGTGTGGTTGATAGAAAGATAGAAAAAAATGAATTATAATTTAATGGAGAATAATAAGGCCAAACGGGGGCTAAAATTAAGAGAATGCTAGCCTCTTTCTTTAAGCAGATTAAAAGATTTTTTTTAAAACTCAGTGTGTGTTTGATGTACATTTTTTTAGAGAGAATCCATTTTTTTTGTGATGTGGTGGTGAATAAGGTTGAAAAAGAAGGAAAAGTTATTTTATAATGAAAAATATTACTTTATTAAAAAATGTATTGTTGAAAATGAATAGAAAAATGAAAATATTGCTCAAATAGGGGCTCAATTTACTAGAACTTCTTGTCCTTTTTTTTATTGAAGGAAAAAAAAAACTATACCTCAACTGGCTAGAGATTTGAAAGCAGAAAGAAGAATAAATTTTATTAACTCAATTGATTTGAACATTGTGCTGATAACATGTTATAAGTTAAAGAAAAAATAGAAGAAAACAAAAAAGTAATAGAATTGTGTATATTTTATTGAAAATCAGAGTCCCATATTTATAGGGAAGATTTACGGATACAATAATAATAAAATCTAGGAATGTAAATGTATAATTGTCATTCACTAATAAACATATAATTTACAACAAATATTACATTTTAACAACAGTATTCTTCATTTTTAAAAAGTGTTCAATCATTTCTTTAATTGATCCAAAGTTGAATTTTTATATATACTAACTTAATCCAATTGATCCATATAGTTAACTATTTGAACGGTTATTGAACTTTGCTAAGTGTTGTTACTTAACAGCTGAACTTAAAAATGCATATCAATGGTAACTAAACTTTGCCAATTGTTACTAATTTATAACTGAACTTATGGTCATCGAACTATGCACTGTGTTACCCATCCACCACTTAAATGGAAAAATCCATTAGATTCAACTAACGACGTCGACTTCACTGATGGATAGATAATATGGTGCATAATTCAGTGACCATTGAAATACTCTTTTATGTTCAGTTATGAAATAGTAACATTTGACAGTTCAGTAACCATTGAGATATATTTTTAAGTTCAATTATTAAGTAGTAATAATTTCTTAAATCAACCTCTGTAAAAGAAGAAATTAAAGAAAATGAAGGGAAAAAAGATGAAAAATCAAATTGACCTTAGTTACCTTAGTACTAATTCAAACATTTTTGTACTTTTATTTAATTTTTCTGTGTCATTTTCTTTTAATGTTCTTATTCTCTCTCTTTCAATCATCTTATGCGAAGTTCTAGATACAGTGAATATTAACCAATTGATCCAAAAATCAAACGTACTTTTAGGCAGTTACCGATGAACGAGATATGCTGATCGAGGATTTAATGATTCCGCAAAACATTCAAAACCAATTTAGCATCGTATATTTTCCATTTGAGCAGTAAAACTTTCAGTTAAAGACTAATGTCATTCATTTATTTCGAAATGAAAATCAACAAAAATTCTATTTTTATTGAATTTATAGCTCTGATTTTCCGTTTCCTCCTTTTACCCTTCATTTTCTTCTTTCATAGAGATCGATTTGAAAGACATAATAATTGAATTTAAAAATATATCTTAATGGTTACTGAATTATGCCAAATGTTACAACTTAATAACTGAACTTAAAAATGTATCTCAATAATCACTAAACTTTACCAGTACTGTTACCTAATAATTGGACTTAAAAATATATCTCAATAATTACTGAATTATGCACAGTCGGGGTAGAGTGTAACAGGGTGCATAGTTCAGCGATCATTGGGATATATTTTTCAATTCAGCTATGAAGTAGTAATACTTGACGAACTTCAGTGACTATTAAGATAAATTTTAAGTTCAATTATTAAGTAGTAACACTTGACAAAGTTCAATAACCACTCAAGTAATTAACCATTGATCCAAATGTCAATTAAATATTTACTAAGCTAGAAGAATCATTAATACAAAGATTAATTTTCATATGTACTACGACTAACACAAATAAAAACCTCAAAAATATCAAATTCAAAGTTAGAATATATACCAACAATTCAAATATATCCAAACATGTTTAAAAATCTACAATATTATTAATAATTGATTTCATTAGACTGAATAATTATGAAATATATAACATGCTCGTAAAAGCTACCAAGTGCTTAATCAGGCAATAGAACATCAAGCACGATCTTTGTGAATTGGATTTCACTTGAATGTCTATGGTTATATCATGTGCCCTCGAAGTTTCACCAATGAAACCAAAATTTTCAAATTTGCATTTCTAGATATTAATTTACCTCTTCACTGATATAAAAAAGATTGTGATATGATATCGGCAGAGAGGACAACAGAGAGCACAGAGAAAAAGGAAAACAGAGAGCATCGAGGGGTAAAGCAGTTTGTCCTGGTCCACTTTTTAGGGTGTCCAGGTCATATGAGCCCAGCACAACTGCAGCCACAGCAGGACAGGCCACCAAACTCAATAGTACGTGAAAAAAAAAACAAAAAAACAAAAATAAAAAAGACCTAAGTGGATTACAACCCTGGCCGATGCCAAATTTACATCCGTGAGGGACGGAGGAGGCTAGGTTAGCCAAAAGCTTGTTATCGATTCAAGAACATAAGGCGTTCTTGCTTTTTCAGGGTACGAAGTGATAGAGAAAATGCCTCAGGCCAATATTCGAGCACCGGTGCTACGTCGCTAAAGTAACCCACTCCATACTCCTAGAAAAACCTTGAACGACCTTTAAACAAAGGGTGCCGACCAATGATATTATATATAAAAATTCAAACATTTACATGGTGGTTTTCTTGATTCATGATACATCTAAGAACACATGATGTCTTCAATGCCACAAAACCCTACATAAAGTTTTCACTTATCACTTAAAACTTTGGACTCAATGTCTTCCAAGCTCAAGCCTTTGGTCTCAGGAACATAGAAAATCACAAACAAAAGAGAAAGCAGAGCAATTGCGCCAAATAGAAGAAAAAGATTTTCCGCTCCAAGAAACTCCTGCAGCACAAATGGAAGTCGATAGCATAATTCACGACAACGTAATACGTATCCTGAATTATGAATATGATACATGGGAAAATTGTAGTGGAGGTCCCCAACCTATGACCTTTGTAGCAACTATGAAGTTGGTCCTGACCTTTCATTCGAGAAATTTAAATTTTTAACGTTTCACTTTGGTGTTAGTAATCTTAGTGGATGGTTTTCATCCAATTTGCTGTTAAAATGGCACATGCAAGGTGTGTGGGATGTGGAGCAAGGGTCAAAATGGGTAAACACAGATAACTTTAATAAGAAATAAATAAAAAAAGTGAATATGTCAGCCCCTCCAAACATCCACCTGTAAAACCAGCCCCACCCGCTGGACCCCAAGTAAAATGCACATATTCCATTCATTGGGACTACTTGTGCAACAATAATGGACGGTTGAGGATCAAAATGTTAAAATTGAGCCAACTTGCTATGCGATAGATGGGGAGACATTATGTAATTTTTGCTACGATATTCACATGATCAGAGAGAGAGCGTGTAATATCATTGGCACCTTAAGTGGCGAGAAAGCAAAGGTTACTATGGCATTGGAGCCAAAATTCGTTAGCACAGCAAGACTAATGCCCTTTCCTCTTGTGCGGAGTGGGAATATCTCTGATACCATAAGCCAACTAATAGGTCCAAACGATATCTGAAACGAGAAGCAAAAGAAAATTTGGTTATGAACGCATATATTAGGTTAGCAATCGACTACGTTTAGAGAACCAAAACCCAACACTTTTCTGAAGTCAGATAATCCAAAATACAACCGGAATGAATCGATATTAAAAGACCTTGCATATAACAGCACATGTTAATAGGCTAGAGAACTAGTTACCTGATAGCAGCCCACGTAGAGAAGTAGAGCAGCCACAGCTACAAAAGGAAATCCTCCAAGAAATTTGTAATAAGCAGAAAGAAGCACCAGAGAGAGGGCCTGTGACCGTAAAATACAAAATTAGTATTTTCCGTTCATTTTGAACCATTAATAGGAAATGTTCTTCACACGGAACCTTTTGGAATTATGAAACAAATATTAAATCTACAAGGGTGCAATGTTACATACAATCCCTCCGACACCTCCAATCAGCAAGGGTCGTCTCCCAAGATCGTCAACCTTTAGGACAGCTATTCCGGTCATCAGAAACTGCAGGACATGAACACTAGTGAAAAATATATCATAGATGAGAATGGGTCCCTTTTAATGGAGATCAACCTCAAATTTCATTATGAAAGTGATGTTAAACCACCTTGTCTAAAAGCTTAAGTTGTTAGAGAAGAAAATGTTCATTTATTAAATTTTGACTTCAGTGTGCCCCTCCATGTGCAGGTCGGGTTCTTTTTATTTTTCTTAACATAGGCCTGACACATACATAAACTTGAGATCTTTGTATGATTACCATGTTGATCCAACTTGCCTAAAAGCTTAAGCCACTAGAGATGGGACATTTATTTGTTTAAATTTTGTCTTTTTTCTTTTTGCCAGGGTGGGTAATTACAATTACCTTAAAAATGCCAATGATGACCGAAACTTTTGTAGCATCAGCAGCCGCAGAGAATCCAGCAGTCTTAAGAGAGACATTATTGGAATCAAGAACCATAATTCAAGAATGTGAAAAGCTACAAAATTTGACTTTGAACAAAATCAAAGAAGCCAACTTTATACATACGAAGTACCTGAAGAATCGAACCAGCATAATACAGAACACTAGGCTGCCCAGTTATCTGATATTTTCACATGGTCAACTCGTGCACTTTCATCAAAAAATTAAACAACAAACAGCTAAGAAAAGTCAGTTACAAAATCAACCTGTTGAAAAAGTACCAATCCTCCACCAATTATAAATGCTTTCAAACTCGGCCCCCGAAACACCTCTAAAAAACTTCCTTCTGAGTCCTGATCAGTATATGCAGATTTCAGTGAGACAAGGGTATCTTCAATTTGCTTTTCAGAGACTTTGTCACCAGTGGACCAGCCTCTTAGCCTTTGTAAAGCAATGATGGCCTTCTCTTTGTATTCTTGCAAGGGCCCTTTACCTTGAACACCCCGAAGAAGCAACCATCGTGGGGATGGTGGGAGACTCAACATACCTAACCCCATAACTAAGGCAATAGGAGCACTGACTCCATACATGTAACGCCATCCTCCAACAGCATTAATTTCAAAACTACCAACAAAATAACCCAACTGCATAAAAAACATTATTTGATGTTAAATTTACGTATCAAAGAACATATGACAAAAACCTATTGATCTCAAGAAAATAGATTTACCAATATACCCAGAACTATGAAGAGCTCCTTTAGAGATATCAAAGTTCCCCGAATCTGAGAGGGACAAGTCTCTGCTATGTAAAGAGGTGCCCCATGCATGGCCTGCCAAACCAAATTGATCAGAAATTGATGATCGTCATTGTGGATCTACCTAAACCAGAAACAGGAAGAGAAATACAGAAAGCATACCATACCAATACCAAGACCATATAGAAGCCGACCTACTAATAGAACCCCGAGACCAGGAGCATAAGCAGTCAACAAACCACCAAATACGTAAAGGACAGATGCAGTGATAAGTTCTCTTCTCCTTCCTTCATATATTGACCAAGCAAAATGCTTTAGTTGTAGTTCTTGTGAAATTAAGAACTTAGAATATTATAAATAGACAAAAAAGCGTACCGAGGAAATCTGCAATTGGGTAAACAATGACGGAACCGAGAAGAGCTCCATAAAGGGAACCGCTAACCTTCATTGGTGGAAAAATTGACTATGATCAGTTGATAAATTATAGCTGCTTATTAGGTATCAGCAAATAAAATAGTAATATAAGGCTCACCACTAGACCGAGTTCAACGGCTGAAAGGTTAAACCAATTTGTGCCACTAAGCTCAGGTGACTACAAAGATAAAGGGTGAGACATTTAAATTTTTCAATATACGTTTTAAAAAATTGATAAATTAGTAGTTATCAGTGAAAATACTGCAAATCTAACCAGGAACTGAGAATGCTACCTGCAATGAGATGGTAGCTCCAGAGGTTGCACCAATGTCATAACCAAATAACAAACCACCCAAGGCGGGGAACAGAAATCTGACATTTAATTGTACAAGTCACTACAGACAGAGATGACTAAATTACATGGGAACAAAAGTATTTGATAAAGAGAAAACTCCCTGGCCTGAACATTGAACTCTTTAGGACCTAACTAAAAAGAAAGAAAAAGGGATGTTTAGGTGATCAGTGTGATCCCATCTCATGGGCAAAATGCTGTAGCGAGAAGAGAAGTGCAAATAATTTGTAGAAAATCTAGAACTCGAAAAACTACGAAGACGAGGTTATATAATGAGATTTAATGTAATAAGACTTTCTTTCAGCCTTTGGAAAGCAAACAAAGCTCAAATTTCAGACCTAAACATCAGTGATGATCTCTTATAAGCAGATGACCTCATATATTTTGCTTTAAGGAGAAAACTCTGTATTCAGTAATAAATTTTCAAAACGAAAACTTTTTTTAATCTTCCTCTTAGACCTTCCAAGTTCATCTTGAAATATCAACCAATTAGAAAATGCAAGTGTCTTATAGCACAGCACGACAGGTGTATAACTACGTGTCCAATAATATTGGCAGACCAGTACAAGCTACTGTTTTCAATTCAATTTCAATTCTGAAAGAGGATTATGTTATGAATGTGTGTTTCCACGTAACTTTGATACTACCACAAGTCCAAGGCCATCAACATGGAAAAGTCGGAGGTTTCATTTACTTCTGCACCCTAAAATTATATCAGGCAGAGCTTCACGATCTTAGTTTCCACATATACTAGAAATTTGCAAAAGAGGACAACCCAAATTGTGAAAACCCTTCATCGGAAGAACCAGTTAATCAAACTAAAAACTTTTTCAAAACTCCATTATCAAAAGATACGATGCTTAACAAACCCCACCGCAAAAGTCCTGAATCCCTTCAAATTCTATCCATAGTCCTACAAAAAGGGGGTCCTTTCACGGTTATTCTTCCAGTATCGTTGATTATACAGAGTAAAAGAAAACTCCATCAATTTTTACAGAAAACTAAATTTAAAAAGTGAGATGCAGAATTCAAACAACTTACGGCAAAATAACAGAAGACCAAGCAAAAACCTCTTGAGGTGCCCCTTCAGAATCAAACGACTTAGCTTCTGCAGAAGAAGCTCCCACCTTTCAATAAGAAGAAAAATAACTTCTATGAATTCAAACCCTTGGATCTTTATCATCTTAAACCAAATCAAAACACAAAATTCTGGGCATTAACCTTTGACTTGAATCTGCCACTGGAGAGCAAACCCATTTTGAATTTTTCATCATTTGGCAAAAATAAGCAGCTTTTTGAACATGGCATCGGGCTAACATGTATTTTATTAATAAAGTGGAGTGGCTGAGAATTCTTGGTTAGAAATAGTGGTGATTTTGTTCTTGATAGTTTGGGATAAAGCAAAGGTTGAGCAGAAATTAGAGACATTCTTGAAACAATTTAGACAGTGAATACAAATTATTCATTTAAGGGGTACTTTTTAGCTGATGATTGTAGCTTTTTATGTTCCAGATTTTGTGGTGGATAGTGATACACTGTAACACTGATATGCAACGATTTTGACTATTAGACGTGGGGTCGGGGATACCAGCTACTGCAGTAATAAGTTAGAGAGAGCAAATTGTAGACACTCGAATGACTCGATATCTCCTTTGTCGGTAACAGTTACTAAGCCTTGTTTAGTACCTATTAAAATTTTTATTTTTATTTTTTTACTCATTTTCAATCACATATTCTTCATTAAAATAATATTTTTCATCACATCAATAACTTTTCCTTCTTTTTCCACCACACATTCTCCATCAATCTATTATTCTAAAATACATTTTTCCAATATAATATCCATCAAACACACCTTAATTTGAACACGAGCCCATGATTTTGTAATAATATTACAAAATACTTTCTTCTTTTTAATTTTAAGTAATTCATTTTTCTTTTACATTTTAATATCACTCTCACACCACCTTGGGTATCCCGTATCGACAACCCCCTATTAATTCCTCAAACATTAATCTGATACGGGCCTCACAAATGTTGAACTAGGACGTTCGACTAATGGTAGAGTAGTGTGCAGTCATCGCACAGAACCCAACAAGACCTTCGAGAATCATGATTTTTGAAGATGAGAAAGACTATAGTCTAGATGATGCTCCATCAATTAATCGATAATATTATATTCTCGAAGAGGGAATAAAAGCAGAAAATCTCATAAAAACGTTTTTATTTGTGTATCCCCTATCTATTAGAAACCGTAGAAAATCCTCATATTTGAAACATTTTGTTCAAAAAACACATACCGTCAAATTTGTCGTTAAAAACAGTAAAAATGTCAAAATTAAAGAGTAAAAATTACAATTTTAGTATTCAAACTTTTTATTCTTTTACAAATTATACCCAAATTTTTTTTATGTATCACCCACAATCACAAACCTTTAAAACTTTATTTTCCACCCACCATATTTCATATTCTTTCCCAAAACTTTATTATTTTATTTAATCCATTTCAAAATCCTCCTAAATCCCTCACCTTAATTCATCATTCCTTCTTCTCATTCCAAATAGAGATATTTTGGATTATGGATTTAGGAGTTAAGAAAAGTGCTTTTGACTACCAATTTAAAGTTTTTTTACAGAGATATTATTTAGCGTGACCGTCTTTATTTCTTTTTACTTGTATGTACACTCGATATAGAAATAGTTATAATATATATTTTTATATGTCTTTCTTTTCAGTTCATTCTACAGGAGTTTAGTTAAAGTTTAGTTTAGAAATCAATCGGTGATATCTTAACTCTTACAAAATAACGTAGTCCAATCTAGTGATATCTTTTGCACATTTTTTTTTGAGTTCTTCATAGATATGACTGTTAAAATCGCAAGAAAATGAAGATTGCGAGTTCACAATAATAGAACAGAATAAACAATACTATTGTAGAATAAGAGATTTGGAAAAAAATTAGGTCAATTTGATTAAGTTGAATTTGGCTGAAAATTGAAAATAGTTAAATCATATTTTAGGTTTGGGCTAAATTAATTATTTAGCAAATTCAAGTAGAAAAAAATAAAATAATTTGATTTATTTAAGATAAAAAATTAAAAAAATTAGGAAAATACTGTTCTTATTCGATTCTTCGGTCTAGAACCGAGAATCGAACCAAACCTGTCGGTTCTTAATTTAAATACCCCGTTTGGTTATTTAATTTAAGAAAACCTGCTTGGTTCAGTTCGTTTCGGTTCTGATTCGATTCGAGAGTTTTGTCCAGTTCTAACTAAAATTGCAGTTATTACTTTTTAGTTTTGACATTTTTACCGTTTTAAACGGAAAATCTGACAGTAGGGGATTTTCATACAAAATGTTTCGCATAGGGGGTTTAATGCAATTTCCAATAGATAGGGTGGTATATCGCAAATTGAAACGTTTCTAGGGGGTTTACTCTCGAATAGTTATATTTTACATTTTGTTTGTGACATTGCATTTTAATTGTAACAAAGATCTTCAATCTTTACTTATTGTCGAACTCATGTCTAAAACTACTTTATTCACATTCTCAACTTTAATCATTAATTAATTAGCACATTATGTCCCTAATGACGATTCTTGTCCAAATATTTTGTTGATGTGCTTTGAAATTAGAAGAAAATATTGTTTCGAACTTTTGTATTAGTTATTGTTATTTGAATTTACAAATATGAGTAACAAATAAGTATTTGTATGTCATCCCAATGAATTTTTTTTATGGAAACCATATCAAGGACAATGTATGCTCATTAATAGAAGGTTGATGACAAGAATGTAATAAAAAAAAATTGAGGACATAAATGCGATAACAAACAAAGATTGAGGATGTTAATTGCAATTAAAATGTAGTATGTCAAACAAAAAATGTATTGTGAATATAATTATTATACATTTCCTAGTCAATCTTACAATCTCTCACAAATTTTATTCTATTTTACCATTTTGTATTTATATTACCTTTAAAATTAGAGAAATATCATATTTCAAAAATATCACTAACCTCTTTTATTTCAAGTTGAGAATATCATACACACTCTTTGATCACCTTTAGACTAATTATTTATTAAGTATAAATTTTTACTACCTAAATTGTCCTTCTGAACAATATAGAAAACTCTTTACCATCTATGCATTAATTTGACTATTTCATAAAAAGCCTCAGATTATTATCAAAACCAATAATTCTAATTAGTAAACTACAACATCCATTTTCATTAAGCTATATATTTCTTGATTCTTTCAAGTGAAATTATTTGTTTATTATTTGGGAGAAAATGATGTTCGAATAGTAATTTTTCTGGAGAATATGTGGTTACAGCGTAGAGAGAAATTTTAGATTTACGTACAAATTATTTCATTGTCTAAATATGTGGTTAAAAATGAACATGAAAAAAAAAGATAGTCAAACAGAGGCTCAAGTGAATTACATCATTGAAGTGATATCCAAGGGCCTTGCTTTCTCAAATCGTTTCTCCTAATAACTAGTGATCTTTACTGATGAAGTTTGAAAGTAAAGACAGTTATTGGATAAGACAAGAAAAAACTCGTATTGAGTCACCAACGACAAAAGTTAATTGCTGATGATGAATTCATTTTGTTTCAATGTCAGTCAGTTTTTTAACGTCGGAGACTAACATAGTGACTTAACTAGAAAGTAAATTAAAATTGAGTGACCCATTTGAAATTGATCCATAAATTCAGTGACCAAAATTGGAAGTAATCCAAAGATGGCGCTTTTGTTTTCATAATTTTCATAAAAAATATGACATTTTTTTTTTGGTAATGCTTATTCTATTCGAGTAATGTTGAGAAAGACATTTCTAGAATCAACATGATTCTATTTTTATTATCAGAATTGCCTAAACAGTTGTTGCCGTTCTTGTGAGTATGAGCATCAATTTCCTCCAAAAACTCCCCTGGAAAATCTATTAATAATCGCTCCTTTGGAACCTTGAAAATCCAAATATTGAAAAATAAGAAAATTAGGCTATGAAGTACCAATTATTTATCTAACATTCAGACTTCAGACAACGCAAGTTTCAAGATGTGAGGCCAGCTAGAGGTGTAAAGAAAGTTGTCCAGACTCACTTTGCTTTTGGTGTAGCACAATACAAGTCGAGGAAAATTCAAGGTATAAGTCATCCTAGAGGTTTATAGGAGGCTCAACTTGCTTTTGCTGGTGGCCACAGACAGGCCAGAACGTACGAGAAATTTAAAAATAGAAGTCCCCGTGCAGTGACAGGACTGAGCGGAGCCCCGATGTGCCAGCTGATGAGGCCCAGGTTTACACCATAGGCCAGCCTGTTGTGAAAAAGATTATATAACAATCGCCCATAAAAATAAATGGCAAAATCTCTCTGTAATTTGAGTATCCAAAGGGATGATAACCAGAATGCTAAAAGACTTGTGATAAATGCACAAGCCTCAATAAATATGAACCTACCTGCAATTCCAAGATTCATCATAGACAGAGGAATCAACCCGCAAACCACTGGCCCGACTGTCTAGTAGGTCGGCACAGTAGAGCCCAGTAAGGGGAAAAAAAAAAAAAAAAAGGAAAGGAAAGGAAGAAAAAGCAACAATCCCAAATACCCAAGTTTAAACAGTAGCTGACAAATAGACAGAGAGGTAAGGTGGCGTGGGGTAGGGGCTAGGGTGGGTAAGGACAAAAGAGGTGTTCTTTGCTTTGCTTTACTTTACTTTATCTGGTGTAAATTCTTGATCACTTTTATCTGAGTGATTCAATGCTTTTCCCCATCTGTGTGCAATTAATGGAGTTCAAGGATTCACGAAACTTAAAAGGGCAGTCAGCAAAAACTGTTTACATGTACGTATGCAGGAAACCATCTGAGAAGCATCACGGGCTGAATCATGATCCTCTCGAGTTTTCACTTAATAATAGAGACCAAAGATGACAATATAAAAGACACAGAGATCTCTGGTTTTTCTCCAAACTAAACAGCCATGAGTTTATCTCTAAAAGATCAAAACTCGAACTCTCCTGATGCCTGCAGAAAAAAACAGAGCGCCAAAATTACAATTCTAAATTTCCAGACGATGCACTCACAAAATGTACAGAGCAGCAGCATATGAATCAAAAGAAAGGGAATAGCAAAATAAAATTATTGTCAAGACAGAAACACCTTGTTGAACAGAATGTCTTTGTTGTTTATGTGCATAATGCCATCCTTCAGAGTGCATTTCCACCTGCTCTTGGTACGTGTTACCTATAAAACAAGCATCCATCAGAGATATTATCATTATAGAATTAATATAGCTGAAAGAATGAGAACACATTAAAGGACCTTAAGAAACAAAACGGTGAAACTCTCTTTGAGTCATTACCTTGTCAAATTGTGCCAGAACCAAATGTGTTGTGTTCAGATCTGCCCCTTGGTCCACGTCATCCAAATCATCGTCATCGTCATCTTCATTCAAAGGTTCGTCTTCGTCATCATCTGCAATGTCATTCTGGGGAGCAGGAGCAGGAGTTGGTGCTTGCATCTCTAAAAAATGTGCAGATGACAGAACAGTTGTTAGGCTTAACGTGATTCAATCTCTCAGGTTTTGATGATTGCAAACAAGTCTTGCATTTAAAAGAGTAGTGTTTGGATGATAGTATCTCTGACAAGAGTTTCAAAATACCTCGACGAAGTTCCACACATCAAAACATAAAGCAGATATCTGAACAGGACAAAGGATCTCAAGTATTGCAACATGGTGAAATTGACCAAGGGGATATGTCATGTCAAACTTAGTTATATAATATATAGGCAACTAAAGTCTGCACCATCTCCCCTATCCCAACTATCAACTATCATATTTGCCAAAAAAGTATGAAAAGATAACCTTAGCAAGCCTTCTTAATTGACTTGCAGACATCTTCAGTTAGCTGTTGTTAGAGTTTAACTTGTGCTGAAGTCTTATGCTAAAGCCACTCTGTTAATCATCTGTCTTCAGAATACCTATCTTTTGCTCTCACACGAACAAGCTTTTAATTTCAACTTCAATCACCAATGACAAAAAATAGAAGTATAGAAGAATCTGAGAGAGCTATTGGAATTGCACCTTCGTATCCACAAGTCAAATCATTACGCTCCATTCTCACATTCTTCAAAAAGTAAAACAATACAATATAAGCTGCATCCCTCTTGTTATATTTCAACAAAATATCACTTATTTGAACGAACTTGTTCAACTCATGATATGAACGAGTGAGCTCAAACCCTCTACTGAAAAAATTATCATTCATATAAACTTGATTTCTAAGATTTCCTGTTGAACTTAAATTGCTATATCATCCTATCGAAGAGCTCCTAATGAGCTAACTAGCACACAGTTTCTTTCTAGTTGGTCTTCTAAGCGTAAATCCTGTAAAAGGTTTACTGTTTTTGCTGCTAAAGATGGATTGTTCCATCCAACTGAATGAAAAGGATTGTTGCTGTAAGTAATACAATAACCCTTTACTCAAAAGAATGGGGTGTAATTTGCTGGAATTGAACTGACCATCCAAAGAAAAGATAAGGGTTGTAGATGTATCATGTAACTGAACAGATACTCCACAGGAATAAAGATCCTGTTTTTGACGTGAATAACTGGAATTGATGAAACCTGTGAAGGAAGAAAGAAAAAGAATAGAATACTTTCCCCTTAATTAATTGGTAAAGATAATACACGTATATATACAAAACCTAGGAAACTATCTTAGGAAAGTATACAAATTAGGAAAACCTAGAATTAAGCTAATTAGCCAACTACTAATTACAATTTGTAACACTTCCCCTCAAGTTGGAGTATAGATATTAATCATGCCCAACTTGTTACAAAAATAATCGACCTGAACCCCATTTAAAGCTTTCGTGAAGATATCTCTTAATTGTTCTCCAGTCTTCACATACCCGGTAGAGATCAAACCTTCCTGAATTTTCTCGCGAACAAAATGACAATCAATTTCAATATGCTTAGTTCGCTCATGAAACACATGATTAGATGTAATATGAAAGACAACTTGATTATCACATCACAATTTTGCTGGTACTGAAATTTTAAGACCGATTTCAGTTAATAGTTGGCATATCCACGTTATCTCACACACAGACAGTGCCATAGACCTATATTCTGCTTCTGCGTTCGATCTTGACACAACGTTTTGCTTCTTACTCTTCCATGAGACCAAATTTCCTCAAACGAAAACACAATAACCTGATGTGGATCTTCTATCCACTTTAGAACCCGCCCAATCTGCATCTGAAAAACATTCAATACGAGTATGCCCATGATTTGCAGATACCTTGTCCGGGTGCTCCTTTCAAGTAGCACACAATCTTTTATAGCGTTGCCCAATGATGAACTATTGGAGATGACATAAACTGACTAACAACACTGACAGAATATGCAATATCTGGACGAGTCACCGTAAGATAATTCAACTTTCCAACCAACCTCCTATATGTCTCAAGATCTTCAATTCGTTCTCCATCTCCCGTAAGGTGCATGTTTGGAGTCATTGGAGCACTACAAGGCTTCGCCCCCAATTTTCCTGTCTCAGTTAATAAGTCAAGGACATATTTTCTCTGAGATAAGAATATCCCTTTCTAACTCCTTGTGACTTCGATACCCAAGAAATACTTTAGCATCCCTAAGTCCTTTGTGTGAAAATAAGTATGAAGAAAAGACTTAAAAGATGAGATTCCCGTAATATCACTTCCAGTAATGACAATGTCATCCACATACACAATTAAAAGAATGATATCAGCTACCGATTGTTTGTAGAACACAGAATGGTCAGACTTGCTTTTCATCGTACCAAACTTTTCAACACCCCAACTAAATTTTCCTAATCAAGCACGAGGACTCTGTTTCAAACCATACAGAGATTTTCTAAGACGACAAACTCGCCCAGACTCCCCCTGAGCAACAAAACCAGGAGGTTGTTCCATATACACTTCCTCCTGAAGATCACCATGAAGAAAATCATTTTTGATATCTAGTTGATGCAAAGGCCAATGTTGAGCACCGCCATAGAAATAAACAACCGAATAGATGTCAATTTAGCCACTGGCGAAAAAGTGTTAGAATAGTCCACTCCATAGGTTTGAGCATACCCTTTAGCGACAAGACGGGCCTTCAGTCGAGTAACGGACCCATCCGGATCTCCCTTAACCGTGAACACCCATTTACACCTTATAGCCCGTTTCCCAGAAGGTAAATCGACCAAATTCCAAGTATCGTTGTCATCCAAAGCATTCATTTCCTCTATCATGGCATGATGCCAACCATAATGAGATATAGCTTCATGAACGGTGTTAGGAATAGAGATAGAATCAAGGGATGCAATAAAGGAAGAAAGGAAGACGACAAACAATCATAAGAAACAACAGAAGAAATAGGATAAGTACATTGGTGTTTACCCTTGCGTAATGCAATAGGGAGATCATCGTTTGAAACTGGATCTGATGACGAAGGAGCAGGTGCGGGACATGAATCAGGAGGATTGTGCCTGGAGTAGACCTGACTAATAGGAGGCCTGATAGGAGCTGGTGCCGAGACAAGTTCAGAGGATGTGATAGAATATACTAACAGATCATCATCATCCTCCCCCGAATGTGCTGGAGGAAGAGAAGACAGAAAATAAGGTGCGTCTTCCATAAAGATAACATCAATGGAAACAAGATATTTGGTAAGAAGAAGACAATAACATCTATAACCTTTCGGAATACGAGAATAACCAAGAAAGATAAACTTCAAAGACTTGGGATCTAATTTGGTTATATGCGGACGAACATCCCGAACAAAACAAGTGCTACCAAATATCTTAGGTGCAACAGGAAACAGTGACTTATTGGGAAAAATGATTTTATAAGGGATCTCACCACAAAGAACAGATGAGGGCATGCGATTAATCAGAAAACATGCAGTAGAGACTGCATCGGCCCAAAAAGGTTTAGGAACATTCATTTGAAATAATAAAGCTCGCGCAGTTTCAAGAAGATGCCTGTTCTTCCTTTCGGCCACACCATTTTGAGATGAAGTATTAACACAAGATGTTTCTTGGAGTATACCATTCTGAACCATATAAGACTGAAATAAAACTGACGTATATTCTTTGGCATTATCACTTCGCAAAGTACAGATCGAAACATTAAATTGAGTTTTAATCTCAACACAAAACGCACCAAAAATAGAGAACTCGGAACAACTCTTCATTAAATATAACCAGGTTACACGAGAGTAATCATCCACAAAGGTAACAAAATACTTAAATCTCGATTTAGACAAAATAGGACAAGGACCCCAAACATCAGAATGAACTAATTCGAAAGGAACACTAGCACGTTTATTGACTCTTGGACTCGAACTAAGACAATGATGTTTTGCAAACTGACACGACTCACAATCTAATGAAGGCACCGTACTAAACTGTGGACAAAGCTTCTTGAGTAAGGGAAGAGATGGATGACCCAACCTACAGTATGCCTCGAAGGGAGATGTTACACCAGAGCAATCAACAGATTTAGCTATGGGTGTGTCCAGAATATAGAGGCCTCCAGCCTCGTGTCCTTTACCAATAGTCTACTTCGTCATAAAATCCTGAAATAAGCAATGATCAGGGAAAAATGAGATACAACAATTAAGATTGCGAGTGAACTGGCTTACAGAGATCAAATTAAAGGACATGTTAGGTAAATGTAAGACAGACGACAGAGGAAGTAGAGAGGTAGGAGTAATTGTGCCAAACCCAAGAACACAAAATGGTGACCCATCGACTAAAGTAACGGTAAAAGTGGAAGCGTGTGACTTATGAGTAGAAATAGACCAGAATTACCTGTTTTATGATATGTGGCACCAGAATCAATGACCCATTTGGAGGATGAGAAAATAAGACGCGGATTTGGTTTACCTGAATCAACAATAGCGGTGATAGAGGAAGAAGACTTCAGTGATTCTTGATACTGTGAGAACTTGGCAAATTCATCTGCAGAGATAAGAATAGAGTTTTCAGAATTCTCATTAGTGGATGCAACATGGACCGAGTGAGCTTTCTGATTCCTGTACTGGAGCTTTCCACAATCACGCTTCGTATGTCCTGGCTTATGACAGTAATGACACACAATTCCTCCAAAAACTTGTGTTCGGGCTTCAAACCCATGCGAGCCTCCCCCTTTGTTTCCACCTTGATAGGTTGATCTCCCAGGCTCATAATTAGTATTTCGACTGACCAAAGCACCACTGATTTAAACAGGTGGAGTACCTTCAGTGCGAAGTACTCGACTAAATACTTCTTGTAAAGATGAGATCTCAGAAGCAGAAAGAACTTGTTTACTTAGCAGTCTCAAATTCGGAGGAAAGACCAGCAAGAAAACTCATGACAGCCATTTGTTCTCGTTGACGTTGAACCTTTATATCAGGGCTAAAAGACAGTAACATATTAAGCTTCTCATAAATCTTCTTAAACTCCATAAAATAAGTTGTAAGGTACTTATCTTGTTTTTCTGCAAGGTAAAATGCTTTGCACACCTCAAACATGCGAAAAAGGTTCCCTTTACCAAAATACAGGAAATCCAAATAATCCATCAACTCTTTGACAAACTCACAGTGATTGATCAAGCCAATTACCTCGCCATCAATGGAATTTCGAATTTGCAGGAATAAGCAAGCACCATTTCTAAGCCACGTCTGCTTTGAATCATCTCTGGGAGGATATTTAGTCAAATGAGTATCTTTGTCAATACTTCGTAGTTAAAGTCGAATGGTCTTACTCTAATCCAAATAATTCAAGCCATTAAGTTTATGGTCCGTGATTTTCGACATCACAAGTACCATATCCGACACAATAATGGATTTCTTCTCGTCCATAACGTCAAAGCAGCGATGCAAGAGGGCCCAACAAGCCCAATAACCAAAGTAAATCACCAAAATAATTCAAGCCCAATAAGGCCCAAGAGCAAATTTGGGCTCAACACACAAAATTCACAAATGGAGCCCAAATAAATATAATTGGCCCAATCCACAAATAGCCCAATCCACCAAATAAAAGGAAGTCCACAGAAGCCCACTAACTAAAAAAACTGAGGAACGATTACTGAGCCCAACACAAAACAAACTCACAGTGGCCTTGAATTTCACACGATCCTCCGACGAATTTCCCGGTGAAGACGAAATCAAGGCTCGCATGTTTCAATTGAAAGCCACCACCACACAATGACGCTACTGACCCAAAGAAGCTTAGCCCAGCGTCGCCTTTGAGATCGTGACGTCGTCGGTCACTACTGCAAAATTCGATCGGCTTTCTTCGTCAGGCTGGTCGAAAAATCACCACAGAACTCTCAGTTTAATAATTCAAACTCACTTCAACAGAAACTACCACAAACACGACCGGCTGCCACCTCTCACAATTCCCGATCGTTGAACGTCAGAAACTATATTTCCATCAACGACACCAAGACTCACACTTGAAGAAAGAATATGGTGAAAAAAAGGAGAGATTAGAAGCAGCAGAAGAAGAAGAAGCAGCAGCGAAGGTAAATACCAAATCCTAAAATTGAGGTTCTGATACCATGTGAACGAAGAAAGAAAAAGAATAGAATACTTTCTCCTTAATTAATTGATAAAGATAATACACGTATATATACAAAACCTAGGAAACTATCTTAGGAAAATATACAAATTAGGAAAACCTAGAATTAAGCTAATTAGTCAACTACTAATTACAATCTGTAACAAAACCCAAAGGGGAAGCTTTTTAGCAATGGACAAAGGCACAGTAACCAAAACATTGTTAAACGCAATGTCTGCATCTCCATCAGTTCTGTTCACACGTTACAACTTATCTTTGTTGAACAAATACCGTTCTTCAAAAAGCATAAAATACATTGCACTTACCACTTGAAAGTTTTTATTCTGCTGCACTTGCACTAAAATTGAAAGGGGATTTCAGAAGTCTCAAAATTTTAGAAACTCGAGAATTTGCTTAATTTTAATTCATCAACCCCCTCTAGATAATTACAAACAAAATGCATCAACATAAGAGCGTGAATACTTTAAGACATATCACATGGTGCAAGATAGATGAAGAGTTATACCATGTGGCGCGGGCGTGTTCACTATGTTGTAGTCTTCATTGGCAACACCTTGAAAATTGTATATCTTCAGTTCAAAAAAAAGCAGCTAGGTAAGTTAAAAGTAAATTCCAGTGAGTTTCATCATGTCAAAACATATCATGTACATCATGAAATAGAACCCACTACAGTTACATAAATGAAAAAGAAATTGTCTCAGTTATCGTGAAAAATGAAATACTTGAGATGAAATGGTAGCCTGCATATGAAAGATGATATGCACATTGTTATCAGCCCTTACAATACACATGCACCATGTTACTGTTCTTTTACCACCGAGAACACAGTTTTTCTAATATTAGTAGATCAAGTGTCAATCAAAACTCTCAAATCGTTTCCACAGCATTTAATTTAACTTGAAACAAATTTCGTTTTGGAAGCTAATTAGTGAAAAAGAGATTCATAGACTTGTAATCCCCTCCACATTTAGATGAAAGAATGAAATTCCTCTGCAATATTAAAAGAAGGCAATGGCTTTAAAAGGTAAAGTATTTTGAAGCATCTCAGAACATACAACTTAAAAGGCAGAGAAACCACTTATGCAAATACTTTTTTTTTTATAGGTAATCACGTAATTTTATAAACCCATGTTTTTTATATATATATAAATAAAAAACATGCTATTAATCCTGCTAAACCATAGTGGAGCAAGGGTTTCATGAGACATGGCAAGTTCCTTAAAGCTTAATTTATTTACTTCTAAGTAAACTTTTTAAGCTCAGGCAAACATGCTATTAATCCTGCTAGGCCATAGTGGTGCAAGGATTTCATGAGACATGGGTTTGTTCCCAAATTAATATATGACAAGAAATTGTTCCCAGATCACGTCTCCGTGGATTAAATACGGATTAAGAAAATGAAAGAGCAGAGCAAATGAAATAGAAGAGTTGCAGTTGGAATCCTTTCTCTTGAAATTAAAATTAACATGTCTTTTTGCTAGATGTTAAATTGTCTCAGAAGTAAAGTAGAAGAGGCTAAAAGAACAATAATTTCATCCATTCTAACGGTATAAAAATTGATAATGAACTGATGTTACACTTCCATTTGGGATACAGAATTTGGCATCCAAGCTAACAACATAGAATTTAGTCAATTAAAACCCTTCCATATGTAGCCCCTGTTTGACAGATTTTTTTATTTTTTATTTGGAAAGAATGAGTTTTTGAATAGTAAAATTTGGGAGAATGTGTGGTTAAAATATAAGGAAAAATTTTGGATTTACGTGAAGAATATTTTATTGTGAGAATGTGTGATTGAAAATGAGAATGAAAAAAGAAAGAATGGTTGTCAAATAAGGGCTTAACATATACTTCACTGCTCAAAGAACAATTCAATCAAACAAAATAACATGCAAGTGTTATTCGTATAATATTTATATTCAAGAGACGAGATATTTGATTCATGAAATTGTTTTCTGCATTCCGTTTCAGTAAAATTTGGCACTCAAAAAACCTTTACAGAATACAAAAAATTCTTTAAAATAATACTCTTTGTGCAAACCCTTCAATCACCAGCCAAAGGCACTTAGCCTACATTATATACATTTTTATCTTCTATAATGACATATCAACTCTGAAAGTCAAAACATGCCTGCTTAGCAACAGAAACAGTAATAGGTACACATCATAAAAGTTGTGTGGTTAGTCATAAAACTAGGAAAAAACATGTCTCAGAAGAAAAATGCAATCAAATGAAAGGTGCATGCTACATGCCCATAATCAAAAAAATGCAAAAAGACCAACCTAGTGAAAACACCATTACACCCATCCATGCTATCCACATTTGAGTGGACAAAAAAGTAAAGAATAAACTAACAATGCATACAAACATACACTTCAAGAACAAAGAAGAGAAACTAACATTGGGTGTAGAAAGTATGTCATCGTATGGATCGGGTATGGGACCATCCAACTGAGGAATCCTAGAAGACAACCCTTCCCTTTGAGCAACCATCTTTTGGTTAGCATTTACCAAAACATGCTGCCTGCTGCTCCCTTGATCTAACTGTCAAATGACCATGAAGCAGTTTATTAAGATGCAGAAAATATAAAAGAGAAAATCAAAACCCATCCAAGAGGTAATCCAACCTGTAAATACAATAAGAAGTCAACCAAACTGACCTGCCAAGTGAAGTGACTAATTCTATGTTGCCATCTACTCCATAAGGAGACAAGTCATAAAACAACTACAAACCAAGCACTAAACCACATCAAGAGCATATACAACTGCACTCTCCACGAAGAAGGCCTAATCCTCAAACCTAGCATCGAAACAAATCATTGGTTCTCCCTTTTCTTGTCCTATGCAAATGTGCCAAGGATGTTTAGCATAAAGCATGGGGAATCCCAAAAAGAATATAATCAACATTGATTCCTATTTTCCGTTTTCTTTTTGGCTCCTGTTTCCGTTTGTTCTAGCACTTTCCTATTTTCAGCTCTCCATGTTTCAGAGGAGAGAGATGCTAAACATGATTGCCATTACCTGAGAAAAAGATCTTTT